AATTCTACAAAAATATTTACAATTTTGGCATCCATTTGTATCAACTTGATTCCCACCATCACATTATTCTTATTCTACTACAAGATAATCTCCGAAAGTAGATTAGCATGTTAACAATCTATTTTAGATGTGCAAGTTCAACAAGATAATGGACAATTCAAACATCTATAAGAATCATTATCATAATATTAGTGAATTAAACACTCTTTTTATGAAAATTTAACAACATTTGCAACATAATCGCTACTCCATTAAGTACATGTAGTTTCATTTAAGCATTGTAAACAATAAGGTTAACATTTATGAACAGCTACATAATAATTTTTAAATCCACAATATGCTTTTATTTGGTCAGAAGCATTCTTAACTTATTATTAATATATTTTTATTATAATTTATTCTTTCATTACCCTCCTGTATTTTTCTCCATTAGAATAAAAATTATTATAACTTTTGGTTGATTTAGAAACTGGCTCATTTTTTTCAACTAAACCATCTGAAGAAAATTCTGGTCCATAGAGTATATAAAATGTGATGATAATGAATCCTTTAAAATTTAACTTAAGCTCATACTAAAGGCCTCCAAAAATTCTTCATTAAAGTGAATGCCAATATAAAATTTATTAATATATATTTGAATTTGCTTAATAATTAATATTATGTATGACTTATCCTTTTAACAGATTTGTGTCATTTTTTTCTAAATTAGTGTATATTATGCATATTACTAAGGATCTTGTGCTAAACCTAGAAAGTCTTAAACGAAATATTATGAGTCTAGATAAATAAAAAGTTAATACAAGGTATTTCATAATCAAAATTATAAAAATAAGAACCATGTGAATTTAAATATTGCTCTGAACAAATTCAAATACAAGTATATGATTATTTACAAAAAATCTTATTAAATTTTTTATCAATTGAAGTTGAACTTTTTTGGCTTGCATAAAAAGAAAACAATAAAAATTTCATTATCATTATTTATAATACCTTTTGGTAAAATTTATTCTAATTGTTAACCTTAACAATTGTTAAATTTATTAATTCTACTTAGAAACTGAAAATATAAAAAATTCATTTGATATATAAGTAAAAATATTTATTTTCTTTTAGAATATAAGGTAGTTTAGAACAAATATTTACCAGAAATAAGGATTTACTTAATTGAATTAAATTGAGTACATTAATTACAAATGTTCTATTAACTTTCAATATTTAATAGAACAAAAATTTTCAAGCATTTTCATATTTTTAAGAATCATTCTGGAATAATTATGGTTAATGAGAATTTATTATTATCATTTTTTTAATTTTTCGACATTATCCTAAAATCTATTAAACTAACATTACAGATATTCTCCAGGAAGATGTCGAAGAAGATTTTCTCTTTTAGTACATTACTAGATTAATAGATAACTACCTGAATTAGAATTATTGAGATTAGAATTTTATTATTTAAGAAAATGCTATTAAAGAAACAACATTTTGATGTGTTATACTTTTCATAAAACAACTTGGTTCTACATTGTTAAGTTTGTTATAAATCCCATCTATTTATTCTGCTTACTTCATATTTATATGGAGTCTTAGAAGAGAAAAATGATTACGATGTTCAAAGCATAAGTAATTAATAGAACTATGATGAAGATGGAGCTATAAAATCTTAGAATATTCTATTCGAGTTTTTCAAGTATTGTGGTAATCAACTTGTGTTTTTCAACTAAGTTCATTGATGACATGGGTTGAAATTTAAAATTCCTTAACTTTTCATGTATTTGAATTCTTGCTTTAATAGTAATCATTATACAGTTTACTCTAGAGAAAAATATCTTTTTAGCATGATATCTGTTCATATGCTTAAATCTACTATAATGAGATACTTATTCAGAATTCTATATCAATTCATTCTTTAATTAATTTTTAATATTTTATATCAAACTTCTCTTCTATAATTGTTATAAAGAGATTATTTTTTATTAAGGTTGTAACTTAACTTT